GAATCATAAAAGAAACTTATTTGTGTCATAAATGGGTCTAACGTTCCTATCAAAGGCAGACCAAATCCTATTGAGAAATCTGACTCTCCATATCTTAGTAAAACAAAGCTAGTAAAAATTGATAATAAAAAACATTAACAAATTCAACTAATCCCATCTTTTAAACAAAACCAATAAAACATATAATAATAAAAGTTAATGGAATCCATTCTGGACAACACCAAAGCATTAACAAATTCAAAACTATGAACATACATGCTTTAAATCGTGAAAGACAACGACATTTGTATGTGCAACACAAAGTTCGAAATAGCCTTGAATTTTGCCGATGAATAATCCCGTAAAGAAAGCATAAAAGGAGAAAAAGTAAGCTGTGAGAATTGGTGCTTCGAACAAATACACATATTAGCATACATATTAAGACATAAGTAATAATTTACAAACATGATCAATTTGAACACAAAATAATAAAAATTGAACAAATCAGATTAACATAAAAAAATAACAATTTGACATATTTTACATGCATAAAAATATAAACGCACATGTAATTCTAGTGGAAATGAAACCTAAACATTTCATACAATAATTTTGGGAACTGAAACTAACCAAAATAGAACATCAAGGACCTAATAGGTAATAAACCCTAGGCACTAAAACACTAAAGATGATGACTAAAATGAACTCAATCATAAATAAGGGCTCAAAACAAAGTATTTACCCTAAACCCATTAATGAACAAATAGGGATCAAAACGAAATAGGAATAAATATTGAATCAAAAATGAAGTAAACAAAAACATTAAATGATGACCAAAACGATCACTACTCAAAATTAACAACCAAAATCAAAATATTTAAACATATAAGATACTAATACATATATAGGACTAAAGCGAAATATATAACATATACACAGCTTGAAGTAAAAAGATGACATTTCATTAAATAACTGAAATATAAACATTACAAATAAAGAGGATCAAAAGTGTGATTTCCCAAAAAAATTAAAAAGGCGGGGAAGATTACAAACCAACAAGGACCAAGGCTGTGAATATACCCTTAATAAAACTACACCGTTTTATGTTACATATATATAACCAATACCCACACTTAAACCGGCCGAAAATTAACATTTGTTTCATTATCCTCTTAACCCCAGAGAGAAAAGAGAGAACATTCTCTCAAATCCCTCATCCCCGCTTCTTTGTTCCTCCACCGTGGGGAGAACCAGGAAAACCATAGCCACCGTGAGACGACGGCGATGGTGAGGGAAATCGAACCGTCCCTAGTCCCTCTCTCTCTCTCTTATCTTCTCTCTCAACCCTTAAGATTCCCCTCCCCACAACTGAATCCCGAAACCTAAACTCCAAAAGCAAGAAATTTACCTTTGAAGACCGAGTTTGGTTCATCTAATGAAACCACGATGATGGATCTGGGTAAGTTTTGCTCTCTTCTTGTCTTTTTTTTATTCGAATGTGGTTTGGTATTTTGTTTTATTTCTCTTGTTTTTTTCCTTTTCATTTTTTGAGTTCTCCCACCGAATCTTTCTCTATTGTTTTTTCTCTGAAAAACCCGAATGGCCTCTGTCTTCACTGCTTTCTTCTTTTTATTTCCCCCTTGCATGTGATTGATGATGGATGGATGTTGTTGTTGATGGATGGCCTCGGTTCGTAGGGAATGAGTACCCTAGGTTGATAGTCCCGATTTCTTCGGGATTTCTTGTGATTTGGTGGACTGATAGATGCTCTGGTCACTGTAGGTGATGGAACGGTGGCTCGATGAGAGGCTTGGCAGAGGCTTGGTGGCTCGGCGGTAGTTGGAGGAAGCTAGAAAGCCAGAGGCGACAGTTGAGCTAATGAACAGAAACCTTAAAACTTTAGGGTTTCATAATGGGTCGGGTTGGATCGCTGGACATGAGTCTGGACCCGAGTCTGGGTCAGATATATGCTAGTGGGCTGCTGAACCGGGTTTGTGAGTGGGTCTGCTGAGTGAGTCCATTTGGGCTTGTAATTTAGCCTACAAAATATGTAATTAATATTAATAAAAATAACAATAATAATAATAATAAATTAAAATAAAAAAGACCCGGACAAAAACGAGTGTCTACAGGTAGAGCTCAAAATAGAAATTCTATGGAGATCTTCAGTCAATTTATTCAACAAACAGGTTTAATTGATCTACCTTTGAATGGGGAAGGTTCACATGGTGCAATAATCAAGATATCCCCACTTTTGTAAGACTCGATAGGTTTTTGGTTGATGCTCACTTCCTGACTGCTTTTCCTGATATTGTTCAATCATTACTTCTCAGGTCTGTGTCAGATCATAATGTTATAACTCTTGAGATTGGAAGAGTTAATTGGGGTAAAAAACCTTTTAGACTCTTTAATTATTTGATGGACGAGGATGACTTTGAGGATCTGGTCAGTTTTTCCATTCAAGACTACAAGAAAAATCAGAAAAAAGTTGGAATTCTGAGTATCCTGAAAAGAACGAAACTAGCCATAAAAAATTGGGCTGGGAAGAGATATCAGTTTCCAGGAGCATCGATAACAGAATTAGAAAGGAAAATTCACAAGTTAGAGGAGGATGTCCAGCAGTTGCAAGATGTAAGTGTAAGTGAAAAAGCAACAGAGTTGAATACCCTTCGAACATAATTATGGAGACTGTATAAGGTAGAGGAGCAGATTTGACACCAAAATTCCAGATCGAAATGGGTAGAAGACAGGGTTCGCAACACAAAATTTTTCCATACTTGTGCTTCAGTTAGGAAAAAGAGGAATTCTATGAATGCTCTAAATGTCAAAGGAGAGATTATCCAAGACCCGACTGTTATCAAGGCCACTGTCATGGATCATTTTTTCAAAATCTTTAATATTCCGTCTACCTTGGAAGTAGAAGATATAAGGTTGAATTTTTCTAGAATCTCCTTGGAGCAAAGTCTTCTTTTAGAAAAAGAATTTCCGGAGGAAGAAATTTGGGAGACATTAAATTCATGTGACAATAATAAAGCTCACGGGCCATATGGATTAAATTTGGGTTTTTTCAAAAGATTTTGGCATGTCCTCAAGGAAGACATTTTGAAATTTTTCCACAACTTCTATTCGAGGAAAGATTGGGAACATGTTATTAATCACACTTTCATTACCCTCATTCCGAAGGGTTCCAACATTGGTGGTTTAGATGATTATAGACCTATAAACTTAGTATGAGGGTTATATGAGATCTTATCTAAGTGCCTTTCGAGGAGGCTAAGAAGTTGCATCAGAGACATCATCAGTTCGACACAATTTGCTTTTATCCCTGGTCAACAAATCTTGGAATGTTCTCTTATTGCTAAAGACATCGTTGATAGGCTTAAAGTTTTTGAGGGTGTTATTAGATGGGTTGCTAGGACAGGTAACTTAGAGGTTGATGCCTTAGCTAAGGCTGGAATAGGCTGAGTTCTGTGTTGATGTTAGGGGCTGTTATTTTTTGGTTTCAAGCTATTCTGTAAAGGGTCATTCAAGGTGTTGTAATCGTTATGTATTTTTTTTGTTATTAATGAAATTTTAAGACACTCTTTTTTTCCTTCCGCTGATTAAGAAGTTTCTTTACGAGCTCCGTTAATCATGAAGGGGGTTTTTAATGAGGCCTTAAACTCTTATCAAAAAGAAAAGATGGAGGTTAATAGGATCTTAAGTGGATGCAGCTGTGATATTGCCTTTTTAACTTTGGGAGGCATTTAAATTTTGTACTTGTGACTTTATCTATTATATATATGCCATTTCATGCATAAACTGTGGGATTTCTTCAATAAAACGAGAGGAAATATTGAGAAGCTAGATGAAATTGACACTTTCTGCAGAAACTGCTTTAATCCAGTTATTCATATAAAATTCTGAAATTTATTTTAGATACCAATCGACATTTGGTGTAATTATCCTCTGGTGGGGAACTTCATGGCAATGAAGATAAAAAAGCAATGTGCTTTCATAGCATTTATTGTATGAAGATGATATCCCTGAATCCATCATGAAACAAAGGACATTTACTGGGTTAATGCATGAAGGGGTGATGTCAGACGACTAAACAAAGAGGGACTACTTGAGGTCCGTAACGGTAGCTTTTAACCCTCTGTTCTGATGGTACAACTGTAGTTCTGGATTTGTCAACATATTGTAAGTTGCAACTCATAATGAACCTTAACTTCAAAAGCTAATGAGAACCTGATATGAAGAAACTCCGAACAGCTCAAAACGGTATGTTAATTTATTGTCTCAACAACACCATGGAACCATGATGGAAAAGGCAATATAACCCATGCAAACTATTAGCTGGATGCACAGAACCGAAACAAATGCATGACTACCAACATGGATCAGCTGTCGATGAACAAGCAAATGCAACATCAAGTAGAATGCTTAAATGTTGATACCCATGGTTTTATTTCCTTAAAAAGACACCAATTTATTCTTAAGAGAACCAGTACGAACTCCCTGTGTCCATGCATATTAGCATCACATAAGAGTATAATGCACGTCATGACACAAAATTGTCAGAAATATACGTTAAATGCAATTATAATGTGATTACTTACTTCAGGAGTATATGATTGACATCAATAGTCTCACCTTAACTTTGTCAACCGATGATAGCTCTCGTCCATAATTCTCTTATTTGCAACCTGACTTAACCTTCCTCTCACAACAATGCTTTCCTTTTTTATGCCTTGTGTGGTCAACTGATCATCAGTTCAGCAATGGTCATGACCTGATCTTCTTTGCCACCTTCGAAAGAGTCCTTTATAGGATTAATGGCATTAGTAACAATAAGGCACGTACGCTTTTTTTCTTTGTAGATATCATCCATTATATTTCTTTACCAGCATATACGTCCCAACAACAATCGCATAAAACTGAGAGTACAATACAGTAACGAGCATCAACGAGCAGGATAATAATTTAACGTAATCAATTCTATATTATAGAATTTTCTCAAGGATGATAATGCCATTTAATGATGCTTCTGAAAGTGCAATACAGTTAGCGTAAGCGTAACCAATACAATTTTAAAATTCATTCCATGAGACTGAGAATCCAACAAGTAATAATGAAAGAACGCAGCGTAGGAAAGGCTCGTTGTCAGTACATGAAAATAACCTATAAACGATGTCTTCTGATTCACACAGTCTGAACCCAATCAAAATCCTACGGCTTACATTAGTCTTCATTACTCTTTGGCCGGACTCTTCATCATTTTCCGGAATTCCTTGAAATTAATATTCCCATCTTTATCTGCATCAGCGGAAGCGACCATTCTGACGCATTTCTCAACCGAGCACGTCATCCCCAACTCATTCAAAACCAAATGCAACTCCTCCGCCGAGATGAGGCCGTTCTTGTCCTGATCGTACAAATCGAAGGCCGCGTGCAGCTCCGCTTCGGCGTTGGCGTTGTCGAAATTGGATCTGCAGAGGATGAGAAATTCAGAGAGGTTGAGGAAGCCGTCTTTGTCGATGTCAATTTCGTCCATGACGCGTTTGAGTTCCTCCTCGGGGGAGGAGGACCATAGCGCTATCAAGACATCGCCGAGCTCCGTTACGGAGATCTTACCGTCCTTGTTCTTGTCGAATTGGTTGAACACTCTTTTAAGATTCTCATCCATGGTGGTGTTTGGGCGGTGGACTTTTTTTTTTAATGGATTTTGGGGAGTGGTTAAAGAAATAGAAGGGGGTTGAGTGACTAATTTTAGAGCTCAATTTGAGGGTGGGATGCGAGCGAAGTAGGCGGGTTGGCGGCAAAATCGGATAACAACCAAGTGCTATTACTTTTCTACCCTTGTCAATCAAGAAACTTATTAAATATTAACGGATGAGATGACATCACAATTAATAAATTTTTTAAAATTATACATTTAGTCTACATTATTTATACGTTCTATTACTTTGGTTTTAATTTTTATTTAATTCAATATATCATTGTGTGATTGGATTTTTTAATATTTTTTATTTAATAATTTTTATTCAATCAAATGGTGCCACGTGACACTAATAGAATGAATGGGAAATAGATTAAATCAATAATCGTTACTAGTGAGATTTGAACTTGTGGCGCAAGCCGAAAAACTAAGTCCTAACCACTAAGCTAGACTACTAAATTTGTCAAGTATACAAAACATAATTCATATAATTTATAATATAATTAATAATAATAAATGACCTTATAAGGACTAAAATATGAATTAATTGAATAATATGAAAATATAAAATATATAAACAAATGTTATAATTGATTAATAAATGAATAGGTTTCATTTATATTTTAAATCACATTTAATGTAAAATTAAAATAAAAGTAAATTTAATATATTATAATTGAAATGTATCATTTTACATATTTTAAATTAATAGATTGTCTTCATTATTCTAATTATTGAACTGAAATGTATTATATCTTATATTTTAAAATATTATAATGTCGATTGGATTATAATTTTATTTAACAACTTTATATTAAAATAGATTAATTTAACAGAATCAAGTTTCCCCTAAAATTTTCTTCAAATATATCATGAATAAGTAATAAAATATAAAATTATTACTCTAACCGGGAAATAAACAATTCAATGCACAAGTTAAAATCTTTACTACGATAAGTCATCAACTATCAGGAAAATTTTAAGTCAACGAATCTTTTCGTTATATTTCAATTATAATATATTAAAATCATTTTTATTTTTTATTAAAATGATTTAAAATATAAATAAAATACATTCACATACTAATCAGTCATAATATATTTATATATATATATATATCATATTATCATATTATTCAATTATTTCTTGTTGGAGTTCTTATTAGGTCATTGTCCCTTTTTTATTGTCATTAACTATATATATTATGTTGTGATAAGTTTGTCATTTGAATAGTGTAGGCAAGTGGTTGGGGTGCTTGCTCCCTCTACTCATGTTTTGGGTTCAAATCCCACCAACAGTAGTTATTGATTTAATTTATTTTTTATTCATTTATTTGGAGACACGCGACTCTATTTGGTTAGATAAAAAATTTATTAAATTAAACAAAAATATTAAGAAAAAATCCAATCCCATGGTGACACATGTCACAATCTGATTAAAGATTAAATTTATTAAATTAATTAAAAGTAAAGACCAAATTAATAAAATGTGCAAGTAATGAAGACTAAATAAAATCTTTACTATGATAAGCCATCAACTAACAGGAAAATTTTAAGTCAACGAAGTTTTTCGTTATATTTCAATTATATTATATTAAAATCATTTTTATTTTTTATTACAATAATTTAAAATATAAATAAAATAAATTCACATACTAATCAGTCATAATATTTTGTGTGTGTGTATATATATATATATATATATATATATATCATATTATCATATTATTCAATTATTTCATGTTGGAGTTCTTATTAGGTCGTTGTCCCTTTTTTATTGTCATTAACTATATATATTATGTTGTGATAAGTTTGTCATTTGAATAGTGTAGGCAAGTGGTTGGGGTGTTTGCTCCCTCTACTCATGTTTTGGGTTCAAATCCCACCAACAGTAGTGTTATTGATTCAATTTATTTTTTATTCATTTATTTGGAGACACGCGACACTATTTGGTTGGATGAAAAATTTATTAAATTAAACAAAAATATTAAGAAAAATCTAATCCCATGGTGACACATGTCACAATCTGATTAAAGATTAAATTTATTAAATTAATTAAAAGTAAAGACCAAATTAATAAAATGTGCAAGTAATGAAGACTAAATAAAATCTTTACTATGATAAGCCATCAACTAACAGGAAAATTTTAAGTCAACAAAGTTTTTCGTTATATTTCAATTATATTATATTAAAATCATTTTTATTTTTTATCAAAATGATTTAAAATATAAATAAAATACATTCACATACTAATCAGTCATAATATTTGTATATATATATATATATCATATTATCATATTATTCAATTATTTCTTGTTGGAGTTCTTATTAGGTCATTGTCCCTTTTTTATTGTCATTAACTATATATATTATGTTGTGATAAGTTTGTCATTTGAATAGTGTAGGCAAGTGGTGTTTGCTCCCTTTACTCATGTTTTGGGTTCAAATCCCACCAACAGTAGTTATTGATTCAATTTATTTTTTATTCATTTATTTGGAGACACGCGACACTATTTAGTTGGATGAAAAATTTATTAAATTAAACAAAAATATTAAGAAAAAATCCAATCTCATAGTGACACATGTCACAATCTGATTAAATATTAAATTTATTAAATTTATTAAAAGTAAAGACCAAATTAATAGAATGTGCAAGTAATGAAGACTAAATGTATAATTATAGAAATTTTGCTAATTGTCATTTCATCTACTCCATTAATATTTAAATGTAGGTGGCTTGATTAACAAGATTTAAATAGTTAGGTGACCTGATTGAAATAATTGAAAAATCAGTGGTGAAAGTAAAAAGGATAAATAGTTAGATGATCATTAATATAGTTTACCCTTAAAACAAATGTTTTATAAATATTATATTTAATTTAAATTATATTTAGGTTTTTAACTAATTTAAAATTATATTTTTATCTCTTTATAATTTAATATTTTATAAATTAATTTAATGATACTTATCATTAATTGTAATTAACATTCGACCATTCATTTCTTATAAAAGTAATTGGAGAAACAAATACAATGAAGCGTAAAGAACAAGTGAAGGATGAAAGAATCTTCCAATGCCAGAAAAAGCTACCTACTCTTATTACCTGTTACCCAAACATCTCACTGGCGCCAGGGCGCTCAGATATTTAGCAACCGAACAAATAGAGCGATTAGCTGTCCTCAACTATCTGACATACACTCTGCTCGTTTCCCAGTTTATTGAAGCTCGTGAAATCCAATTTACCAAAACAACCCTCCCTAATTACCGCTACTTTTTTTAAAACTTTTTCGCTTCTCTTATTAGAGTATTCAATTATGCGTGTAACGTTAATGTCCATGCTACATATAGCTTCCTCTGTCATTTTATTCAAAGATCTAAACTGCTACTCACGTGCTGAAGGACCCATGTCCCTACTCGCCAGTGGCCAACACCACCGCCACTAATACAGATATTCCCTTATTATTTGTGCAGATCTAATAAGCAAGAAAAGCAAACACAAATTAACTATAATATATAATAATGTTTCTATTAATTAAACCCACTACAAAGATTAGAGACGACATACGTACGTAGTAGACATAACATCTAAATTTGATGATAGTAAGTATATAGAAAATAGCAATGGATTATGGTGCGATAAGATCCTAGTGACGATGGGGGCAGAAAGTGACCAAATAGTTGCCGCGGGTGCAAGTGGCAATGCTGGTGGGATCATCGTATGCATACGAATATGCTTTGGGACAAGCAGTCTTGAAAATCTTGGAATATGCAGTTGGCTTGCAAGACTGAGGATTCCCAAAGTCGCCTGTGCAGCAATACCTCGGCGAGTTGAAAGCAAAGCAAGCACTTTTGCACGCCACCACTCGTTTTTTATCATTTGATCTCACTTGCAACCCCACGGGGCACATCAGGTTCAAGTCGCTGACGCACCCGGCATAGCTGCATTTGCCTTTGCCCTTGAAAGGGATTATCGACATGGCAATGTTGTAACCATCCACCAAGCTGACGTCGTAGAAATCTTGGTCCTGGCCGAGGGTGATTTCCGCCAGTGTGGCTGGCGGGGCACCACCGAGTCCATTGCAGAAGAGAGAACCACCGCAGTCACCAGTGGCGCAGCGGCCGCGACCCGAGGCGTCAAAGGAGCAACCGTGACGACCCCAGAAACGACCTGACCAGAGGGGAGGGTTGTTGAGTGTTATCGTTGTTGCTAATGTCTCGACTGTTTGAAAACAAAAACAACTGTTATAAAATACATTAAAAAAACTATGCAAGAATAAGGAGTCTATGCAAGATGTATTGCTTTAACCAACTTAAAAGTACCAGAAATGTGGGATAAAAGAAGAGTGCAGAGCGTGAAAGTAAGCACAGATCTCAGCATTGTCTCCATGGCTGAAATTTTGAGAAACGTGAGAGTAAAGAAGAAAGGCCTTCCTGCTTGGACTGTCCACTAGGGTAGCCCTTTTATAGAAATAAAAGAAACTAGCGTATCCATTGGGTCTCGCCTGGATCTTTTGTTATTATTATTATTAATATTATTAATTTTTTATTTTTATTACATGCCTTTACAAGTTTAAATTGGACCCAATTACAAAGGGGTCAACCGATCCTAATGGTACAAAAACCTGAAGCCCAGACCAGACCCAAAAGAATTAAGGTCCACAAACCTACACACTTCAGGGATTTTTGAAACCCTAGTTGTTTAGCCTCCACGCACCATCGTTGCCCTCAGCAAGGTTTCCACCAACACTGCATCGCTGCTTGAGCCTCCACGGCCGATGCTATTGTTGCTGAAGTCATCCCCAACTACTCTATCTCGCATCAACAATAAAGAAGAAGACAAAACAAAATCTGAAAAATCAAATCAAATCAAATCCATAACAAAACCCATTAAAAAGTCATATTAAATCCCATGAAATCTAGGTTTTTAAATAATGCGTTTAGGGACATCATTTCAATACAAACAGACCATTGTTCTCACCAAAACGTACTCAAGCACTCCATCAAATCAAATATATAAGCATGCAACAACATATTTAGAAGGAGGAGTGTTCGATTAAAAAAAGAAAAAGGGAGAATAGATCAGAACCGAAAAAGAAAAAAAGGGGAGAACTTAAAAAATAAAATAAAAAACAAAAAGAAAAAAAGAGTTTTCGAATAAAAGAGGAGCGATCCGAAACAACAAAAAAAAGAAAAATGGGGAGGAACCATTTTTGAAAATAAAAGAGAGGAAGAGAACCATTGTTACATATATGTGCATGTTTTTTTTAGTTTATGTTTAAGTGTATGTGTACGTCATAAATATATGTTTGTGAAGTGATTCTCTTAATGTATGAGAAAGCCACTTCCGAAGATCTTAAAAAGAAAACATATCTCATTAAATGAAAACCCTAAAAATTTGATTACTCTTATAATTTGGGAATGAGAGAAAAAGAAATGTTTGTCTATTTAAATTATTCAAGAAAAGATCATTAGAACTTATAAAATATCTGATCTCGATGTCTTTAAATAATCGAACATCCTTCTTTTTTCTAAAAGGATTGGTAAATCGTGTTTAAATAATCTTTATTTTTATCATTATTCATGCATTTTAAATTTGAATTATTAATGAACTTTCGAATGAAATAGTAATATTTTCTTATTTCGATTGGATTAAGAAATAACTGCTTTAAGGCATGAGAAGCCTTTTCTTCTCGGTAGGAAATAATTAAATATTGCCATTTTCCATCCTAAAATTCAAACAATGTGTTTAAAAAAGGGTCTTAAATTAAATTAAATTCAAATTTGTAAGATTCATTGCAAATGCAACTAATTAATCGATTAGGTACCATTTTAGGACGATGTGGGGTGTTAATCCTTCCCCATGCGTACTCGACTCCCGAACTCAATTTTTTTGTACGTAGACCTTAAAATGTTGTTTTAAAAAATTTTAAATTAAATTTTATTAAAATAACAAAACATTGGGGTGCCCAATCACACCCTAATCAAAGATTGGTGACGACTTCTCGAACCATGTTTTATTTTGAGCTTTTATATAAAAAAAAAGAAACTCAAAACAATCGAGACGTGATTTTTAATTCACTTAAATTTTAAATTTGTTTTTAAGAAATCATTTTGACAGCTTAACAACTCTCATAGGGACATTTTTTAGAGAGTCAAGTCGTTAGTCCATTAATTAATTGTCTTTGCAATGAAAATTACAAGTTCGTTCTAATTTAGCTTTGGATCCCTTGTTTGGTTTAAATAAATTTTATGTTTATAATTTCACTAACCACTAAATAGTTGTATTGATTTGTTTGCTAATATTTTTAAATTAAATAAATGTTCAAGAATTTGAGAATTATGTTTTGTGTTGTTTGTATTGTTTTCGCTTTTCCTCACATCATGCACAGCTGCATTTGCATAACATGAGCTAAAACCCCGCTCCGTCCCACTTAAGTGAGAGTGAGAAACTACACTCTCGTGATGGTTTGCATCTCCGCATGGGATAGTTCATCACTATCGGGGCACACGCCTTATGGTTCTCATGATGGTAATCACCTCCGTACGGATATAGGGAAATGTACCTCTTTGAATTGAACTCGATCCATATAAATCTATCATGGGCCATGATTAAGGATCTGACAGCCCAAAGGGTACCGACAAGGATAATTCGAGTATCTCTTGGCCTAGAGAAGAACTGATAACTCTGTAAAAAGGACATATTTAGGGCCTTTTCACTTAAGTTATCGATTGTCTAAGAGCTAATAAAGGATCATATAGATGCATTTAGGAGCATATAGTTGCATATGGTGGAAATATATTTTGTCGTGATATTTTATTTTGTAAAAAATGTTGGGTTATGTGGAATGTGTTTTGTTTGATGATGTGCATAATTTGGGGAACAATGATAAGCAAAGAGAATTGTCGTGACATGATGAGACTATTGAGCATAATGAAAATGCCAAATCATACGGCATTTTGAAAGTGGAAAAAATTATATTTTCAAGAGCCAACTGCCATTGTCTTCACGTGCCCTCAACCGTTAGTCACCTAAGAGGGAACATCTGCCACCTAGGTTAGCTGATCTGGTCAGAACCACGCCAAGCTGCCTAGGAGAGGACCACTGCCAGCTCTGCTATACCCCTCACATGAAGAAGACCAATTCGGGGGTATCCTAGGAATTTTAACACAATTTCCTAGGTTTATTCCCCCTATAAATAGGAGATGAAGCCACCAAATTAAAAAGAGACTTTACACGTCTTTTTGAGTTTAATTTTAGAGAGAAAAAGATATCTCATTTTTTCGTTAATCATTTTTACCGTGGCATTCCTCCATTATCAAGCTAGAGGGAGTGGTGAGCTAGGTGCCCGAGAGGAGCTAGCGAGCTGGGACAGTTCGTGGTGGCTGATGGGAGTTCTGACAGTGCACGTCGAAGGCTTTTCCTCCGTCCATTTGTTGTTTGCTTCTATTTATATTATTTTGGTTGTATGAAACATATTAATTTCATGCCTTGTTGCTTGAAATATTCGAAACCCACCATGAACTAATCTTATTTGCTGGAAGTTCCTTATGGATACTTAAGTTTTATTTTAATGGATGATTGTTTTTGTATATTGTTATTTGTTTTTCTTATGATGTTTAATACCTTAAGGTTGTAGGTGCTGTGAGAGTAGTCATTCCTTAGAAGAATGCTTAGTATTCGATATAGTGACTAAGTAACATATCTTTAGTGTTCGAGAGAAACTAGGGAGGATCCACATAAGCAAGGGGTTCTAGATAGTAAATATACCTAATTTAACCTTAGACATAAGGCTAAGATTTCAATCGACTAAAAGGAGTAGTGCTCGGTCGAGAGGTTAGATGCTAGTGCTGACGCTGAATGGTATTGTTGTGACATTCTGTTATCTGAACCAATAGGATCTCTGTAACTGCTAAAGCCAAGAGGTATCGGTATGTCATCTTCAACCTGTCGAGTCCCTTAACTAGATATAGCATAGGGCACCTTTAGTAAACTCTGTCGGGCAAGTAAGACATAGAAGTAAGACCATAATGAAATTAACTAGATATAGCATAGGGCACCTTTAGTAAACTCTGTCGGGCAAGTAAGACATAGAAGTAAGACCATAATGAAAAGATAGACTTAAGTTTCATAAGTGACTCATATCATTCATTCCCGAAGTAGCTTGTGGTGTGAGGAGTCTAAAGTCATTTTAATCAAATCTAGTGTTTACATTTTGTTTAGCCTTCTCATTTTCAATTGATTATACCACAATCAATTTAGTTTTGCCAAGACATTTGCATCCACTTTGCCACAACATCTCCATTTGCTACCACATTATATTACACTATCATTCCATTCCCACGAACATTCATTTCATCATTCCTCCTCACTGTATCCAACTTTTCTTCTTCATCTTTTTTAAATTCATCATATTTTTCGCTACATAACTCTTCATATCTTTCATTTCAGCCCTTATATTTTCCCTTTCATCGATTATTTTTCAACCTCTCCCATCACCCCCTTCAATTCACCCCTCAATTCCACCACTTCTTTCACCACTCCCCCACTTCTCCCTTAAGGATCTCAACCGCCTCTTCGATTCTGGATTGTTTTTGCAAACAATCATAAATGGCTTTTTTTAGCTCCGCCAACTCAGACATCAAATTGTCAAATTTACTTACACTCTCTTGACCATAATCCCCCTACTACATTTTCTTCTTCATTCTCTTCTAAATTCTCTTATTCATTCTCGTCTTCATCCTCTTCCTCCATGCCAATAACCTTCAAAAATAAATTACAATATTAACACAATTTTTTAAATTATTAATATTATATAATTGCTTTTATTACCCTTTCTTTCTTGCTCGGTCTTTCCAACTTCAATTTTGTCATCACTCAAACTACTTCTTCCTTTCCCCATGCAAAGATGAATGCCACTTTGGTTCTTTAGAATGCTGGAACACTTGCATAATCAGACCAAGAATCAAACAATAAACCTGCATTTATAATGAAATTTATCATTTTCTATAATAACTACACTTAAAAATTTTCTAACCCAACACATCCTTCAACTCATTTACCTTTAAGATTGTTATCCACCCTTTGAGGTATGTCTAGCTTCGGCCCTTCTGAAAGCTAATTATTGATTCAATCAATTTTTCATGGACATATTCAACCCAATTCAATTCACCTTTCAACCCTTCGTCGCAAATCAACTTGATATTATCTTTGCTCGGGGATGTATCATCTGTTGGACAAAAAAAGATTCCGACAAGGTACAATAGTACACGGGCCTTCAGGTTTTCTCCGTCATAAGCTCCGCTTTTAATTTTTTAATTTAATTAATCTTTAATATGCATTGGTATTATATTCTTATTATAAACTAAAACAATTTTTTATATTATGAAATTTCTTATTAACTTTATTGTTTTATATTTATATAATCCACATGTTAAATTTATGTAATGAAAATTTTTAATAATTATATTTGAATTTAATTATTTAATAACTATTTATTCATCTATATTTTAGATATCAAATATATTTTCACTATTTTTATTTATGAATTCAAGTTTTCATTTACATTAATTAAACATGTTTTCTAATTTTAAAAAAAATGAAAATGAAATATATTTTATAGAACCAAAGACCCTTGTGGTTTTTCTATAGTATGTTGTAATTGTATTAAATATTTTTCATTTTCTACTCCTTTCTGATTACTTTCTATTTCTTTACACACGTATGTTTTAATGCGAGATCCGGGAAAAAGAATGCCAACTTATTCAAACCAACTTTTGATGCAATTAAAGCTGAAATAAAAATATTATTTGTTGTGCGAGAATCATGAAAGAAAATCCAAATGTAATTAAAAGCTTTGACAATTTGTTTCACAAAGGCTCTTAAACAATCTATGTGCTAAATTTAAGAGAGAAAAAAGTAGCCGTCTACCATAAAGATCAAATTCAAGTATAATTATTGAATTTTAATAATCAAAATCATAAATTATAAGTTTTTATGCGAAAATGTATGACATAAATGTCAGGTTGCTATGCCTACCTTCTTTTTATTGACATGCTTGATTCCTATGGAATTGACTGTTATGATAATGATGCTGCTGTCTTTTTTTTGCATAATGTATTAGATGGGTATTCAATTTGGTTTTTCTGTCAATTTATTTAATATTTTAAATAAAGATTAATTTATTGCTAACATTCATTACGTGAATGGCTATGCAAAAGAGAAAGATAAAATGACGAGAGCTCAAAATTGTTTAATTAGCTAGAGAAAGAAAACAGTTTCCCCCTTAAATAAGCTTTGAGTAGGGATTCAACATGCAGTCATGCGTGCCGGGCTCTTTGACCTTTGAAATCTGGAAACGAGGCTCTTTTGGGCCTCCGAAAGGGCATATGTGCCTTCATATCCCCAATAAAATGTAATACACAAGCGTTATGGGCAATGCTATTAGCATCCCAAATATAACACTGCAATTCAACACACAACAAACATGAGCTAAAACCAAAATGTAAGAAGCTTAAAACATAGGTAAAAGGCTCACGCTGTGCTGAGAATATCAGGGTGCAGGCTGTATTCCTTAGCAAAGACGAAGGGGACGATTCCTTGAGGGAGGGCTGCCTGTTTTTGTTTATTTGCAAGAGGCACAGTTAGAATTAATAAAAACCACAATTACTCCATTAATTTTCTTTGATTAATTAATTGGTCACATTTTACAATTGTTTATTTAATGTTCTGGAGTTTTTAGTAAACTAACATTATCTTGATAATAAATTTATGCATGCAGTTGTGGGAGTGACCTGGACAATGGCAACGCGTAAGAGGACGCCACGAAGGCCAACAGCAATGGAAGCGGCTGCCATGACAGCTGGACCTGTAAGGAATCTCACGGCCATCGCAAAAGCTGCAACGGAATTCCCACATGCTATGATCCTTGGTTGCAATGCCATGAACAGGCCTGTTCTTTCCATCCAAACATTACCCCCATTATCACAATCCGACGTATAAAAAACCAAACATTTTTTCTTTGATTATTAATTGGTCACATTTTACAATTGTTTATTTAATGTTCTGGAGTTTTTAGTAAACTAACATTATCTTGATAATAAATTTATGCATGCAGTTGTGGGAGTGACCTGGACAATGGCAACGCGTAAGAGGACGCCACGAAGGCCAACAGCAATGGAAGCGGCTGCCATGACAGCTGGACCTGTAAGGAATCTCACGGCCATCGCAAAAGCTGCAACGGAATTCCCACATGCTATGATCCTTGGTTGCAATGCCATGAACAGGCCTGTTCTTTCCATCCAAACATTACCCCCATTATCACAATCCGACGTATAAAAAACCAAACATTTCTGTTTTCTCTTTTTAAAAAAGCAAAAGAAATCTGAAAGATGAAGGGACTTTCATCATCAGTTCCACCATCACCCCACCATCATATCAAATCCAAGACAAAAACTGAGCAAAAAAGCAAAAGACATATATATATTCACAGTACAGAATACTCGGATTCCCCTTGCTTAACACCAACACGTTATCATCATACCAGTTCACACTGTTTTTCTTACTTTGCTTGCTTTATTACAACACTGTAATGATCATCAAGTGTGGTCCGTTCAATCCTCCCTTGGAAAAGCTCAAGTCTTCTCTCTCCATGTACTCCTCACGATTCTCCTTGTGCCCTTCAGCTGCAACAGAACAAAGTATCACCATAACAATCATCATTAGTGTAAAATTGAAGCAAAAGATATACCTTTCCCTTGGGAGACAGGCAATCTGACTTCTTTATGGTCAGTAGCGCCATGATCATGATGATGGCCACCAAAGACATCGGATACAGGAGAAGCACTCGAACTCCAAACAAACACTGGATGATCCCTACCACCGTCTTCAGACTTTTTCTGGGGATGACCATTAGGCTTCTTTGCATTTGCATTAGCACCGATACCTTTAGAAGCGGTCGGCGAAAACATACCGGGATTAGGAACCGGGTAATGAGTTGCACCGCCACCACCTGGCGCCTGGTAATGGAACTTTGGCTTATCCTCCTGATCATAGTTGGAATGCCTGGGAGTTGGTCCACGCGAGGCAGACAAACCGTAAGCCTCAGCAGCACCGAAATTTGAGTTTCGTCCCCCAGCCATCATGGAGTAGAAGTCAGTGTGATTAAAGCTGGAGCCCCTTGGTGTTGGGTCTCTGGATGATTGCAAAGAGTATATCTCAGCATTGGTTAGATTGGAAGGGCGTGGAGTTGTGGAAGAAAAACCATGGGATCTTCTGGAGAAAATATCTGATCTTGAGGCATTGGATTTTCTGACAGTAACATGAAGCTTACCATCTTCTTTGATCTCAGCTTCAGTTTCAAGAGGCTGTCGACCGTCAAGTGACATGACATCCGAATCGACATGGATTGAGACAATAGAGCCAGCAGTGTCGGGGAATTTCTCAGAGATGAGCATTCTGGCTGCTCTAAATTCAAACAAAAAAAGCATCAAAGTGTACCAGATAATGCATTGAAGGACGACTATTTGCACCATTAAACACCCGGAAAAATCCCCGTACATGCCTTTAAGCAAAGGAATGCCCATAACCAAAGTGTTGGGAAGCGTAGAGAGTGAGAAAAGGGTAATGGTCCATTCCAAGCAACCCCTTCTGCTCGCCTTGCTCCAAACAGCAAGTAATACAAGAATGATAATCTTTTGGAGCGTATCAGCGGCTAAGAAGCGAAAGTTCATAGCATAGGGGTTGTTAGAGGCGATGAAGTGAAAAGAGAGGAGAGGAACGGCAAAGAGAGCAACAAAGCGGTTGATGCCGGAGCACTGATCGGGAGTGAAGATCTTCCACCATTTCACCGACCCATATGCTAAAGTCATGGCCACGTAAAGTGGAACCATAGCAGTCATGACATGGTAGAAATCTAGTAAAGTGATCATCTTGGGTGAAAGGCCGGGGAAGAAGAAAGAGATAGGCTTAGGCTTGGAAGGAACAAAGGGAATGGGATAGTAAGTGTTTATGGGGGCAAGTGGGGGGTGGGGGTGGTAATAACAAGCCTTGCAGTCCCCAAAGCAAAGCACGGGGGTTTGCTTTATTTTAATTCAGGCTTTGGAATTTTGCCTTTTGTTTCGTAAGTTTGTATTGTATTGATGCTCTATATTTCTATGTCATCAGTAGGGGGGGGGGGGGGGAGGCAATTTGGTGCGGAAGGTACTGTGTCTTCGAGTCCATGGTATACTTCATTTTGGAGACACCTTTTAAGCTTTTTGCAAGCATTAAAAGAAGCCCTTAACCTTTTACAGATTGCCTTTTCCGCAACTGGATTCTAAATGCCTAGTGCCTCTTTTCCCTACTTTTTACGCTCCCCTCCGTATTATTTAGTAATAAGATACATTATACTTTTAATAATGAAATATTAATTTATACTTTAAAAATAAGAAGCCCTTAACCACTAATGACGCTGCTTCAATCCTTCATCTTATTTTGATAAGATTTGAGAAAATAAGACTCCTATATTAAGCACATTTTATATGAAATTATTAACTTATTTTTCAAATAAATTAAGGGATCCTTATTTCTTATGACTTCATAATAAATATAAAATTTAAAACATAAAACTGTTAGGAAGATTTCGTAAGACTTTAATTTACAAATAATTTTGGAATTAGTTGTACATAACTCCAAAATTACTGGTGGGGAGATGAAATGACATGTCACTCGTTGTCCCATGTTTTGGGAAAATGAAAAGAAAAGAAAAGGTAATTACATCAAAATTTGCAGTATTTTTGTTTTAATTTTTTCTTAAGTACAGCATTAAGATTCTTTCACAGAAAAGATGGAACAAGGCGTGTGGGATGGCATTAATTGTCGAGAGTACTAAAGATAGGCACAACCTTACTAATCGATTTTAACCTTAATCAAGAAAATGAGTACTCGAAAGGCAAGCTTGCCTTGCAGCATGAGTCAAAGCAATCAATTATTAGGTACTTAAATTGTCAAGTAATCATTTTTCACACAGATTTGAAAAATCTGACCAATTCACAACAATTTCACAAATATTATTATTTAAATGTCATATTATTTATTATACTTTTAAGTGTATCTAATTTTTTTTTTAAAATGACACTTAACTTTATCTAAACAATATTTTCAACCCAATTTAAATTTAAAAAATTCAACACGTAGGAGCAAAAGGCATAGTATTATACAATAGTACAACTAACGATCATACGAAGCAAAAGAACTAATAATACCTACAAAATTATAATAATAAATAAAGTAACGACACAAAAGTGATGGTATCTCTTCAGACCTCAAGAAAACTCGCCCTCACGATGCATGAAAACCTCCATCCTTACCTCTGAATGATCAAGGACGACTTGGAATTAAACGATTGAGCCAATTCTGCATTTGTAATTTGGTTTTTGTCTTCCAACCACCTACTGAAACACCTTCCTTAATCTCTCAGCAGAAAGGGCTGCTCTTTTATTCGTTGGCTCAAGCACCAGGGCATGGCTAAAATCTGCAGTTCAAAAGTGCCATCATTGTTACCACAGAAATCCAGTGTGTTTGAAATTCTTCTATAGAAACAAGGTTACAACTTGTATATAAGCATCAAGATGCCAGTGAATACTCGTCGGTTTTATGAATTCCTAGTTCTCCTCAATAACTTTCAACAGCCAACAGCATTTCATGATTCTTCATTATTTTCATTCCTGACCAACGAAATGGGGTGTGTGGCTGGGTATATACGGATAACAATAAAAACTTACCCTCAATTGCCTCCTTATAGTAACCAAGCATCTCCCTAGCAGTGCCTCTTCGTAAATATGCCTTTACATTCTGATCAGTAGAACAGAAGCAATTTATTGACGTACAGTAGATACAATAGCAAACAATATTATGTCAATGATACAGAATCATGGTTGACTTAGATTTTTAAGTAAAATTCAAACAAAGGTGATGCATAAAAAATGCCATTTGTGGTGTAAATTATAAAACAATTATACAATCAAAACCATTATGTTTTAAAGGATTTTAATTTTCCCCCCTAAAAAGTTAAAAAGGAAATTAAAAATCATGCCTCATGTCATGCATTCCTTGGATGACAGATTGTTTTAAAGGATGTTGATGGTTAAACTTTAAAATGGCAAGGGAATGAAATGTTAGGAAACTAAAGCAAAATGGACATATAGTGTAGGCTATTTTAAAATTAATCATATTTTAAAGGAAGTAATTACCTTTTTATCAAGGTTGATGGCTTTGGTACAATCTGCTTCTGCTTGGAGGAAACTGAATAAAAATAAATTAAAAAATAAAATACCAATAATAAATTTTGTCAATTCTAAGAATAAAATATTACCTTCCTAGTTCTAGATATGCTGCAGCTCTGTTGCTATAGTATGTTGCATTATTGCCACTAAGCTTGATAGCTTCAGTATAAAACCCAATAGCCTTCTGCCATTGTTTATCTTTGTATGCTTGGTTACCCTAAAATGGAAATAATTTATTTAAGACAAAGGAGAAAATGTGCAGGAAGAAAAAAGAACAGGTAGTGTACCATTACCATTGCTAAAAATACTATATCATAGCCTTGGGTTGAAGTAACAATACGAGGACAACAAACATTTAACAAAAATCAGATAGACATACGCCAAGCCTCAGTGAATAAGCTAAACAAGGGGCCAAACGCTAATAAGTAAATATATACACAATTTAACTAAATCAAAACAGTTTTCTTTGTTCCTTTTCGAAGTTAACACTTAACAGGAAGCACTGTGATCGAATTTCCTAAAGCTACTACCACTTTTCAGAGGAATCACACTCTTTACAGCCCCAGCAAGTAATTAACTTATGAGTCATAATCTATATATTTTCAAGAAAAAAATCAAACCTCAATAAAAGGAAACAAGAATAAAATTTGCATTGGAGCCACAATGCTTCATTTTGTTGGTCCAAACAAGACAACCATAAATCAGACTAATTCAAAATATCTATGACCAGCTACTTAATGAAAATCATTTGATTGGTTTTATCATACTGGTCTAGACAAATTCAACAGGATTGCTGGAAAATTTTCAGCTTCACCATTTCAAAACCCAAAGTCCACTCTCCTATAATGGGAAAATGACACCCGATATCAAAAGAGAAAATGAAATGATCAAATTAATTGAGGTTTTTGGCAAAAATTAATTTTTTTTATTCAATAATCATTCTTGGTTCTTTACTGAAATCAATCTTTGTTTGTTTACCATAGCTTTAAGAGTAGCCCATAAACACTATTAACATCAATTCTCTTTTCCTTTGTTCTTTCTTTAGTAACATCTAATTCTCCAGTCTCTCATTATATCACCTTTGCCCTCTCCCTAGTTTCATCCCTACAACTTGCAAGTCAACTTCTATATCAGTCCACAGAAAAAACCCTTATATATCATTCACCTTAAAACAAACATTATGTTTTGACAGATACAAAACATAATAATAATAATTTGGAAAAAAAGATGAGTGAGATAGGTAGAGAGAGAAGTGCAGAAAACTCGAAAAAGTCCATTGCCTCTACTGAGGAATGGACAGTGTTCATTGACAATCTTAGTAAGAGGGTTTCAAGACGTGTGCTTAGAGAGTTTTTTAGCCCTTATGGTCAGATTGTGAGAATATTCATTCCGCGGTTTTTAGAGAAATCAAAGTACAAGTCCTCAACATTCGCTTTTGTCCAATTTATTGATGAGGAAAGTAGGGAAAAAGCTATCCAGTCTGTGAATGGGAGATGGTTCGATGGGAGGAGATTATCGGTAGGGGTTGCTAAGTATCAGAAGGGAACTAAGAAGGAGGTTGATGATGGGAAGAGTATGTTGAGGATCAAGTCAAGAGAGCAGGAGTTGGTTTTAAATGGGTTAAAGGCAAAGTCGTTGCAAAGCTTCAGGGATGGCAGAACGTATAAGGAAGTAGCGAGGTCTGATGTAAACAAGAGAAGAGAACAAGAGTCAGAGATGTTGGTGGAGGGTAGCAAACGTAATGCTACTAGTGTGAGGAACGTGTGGGAGATGCATATTGCGACAGACAATTTCAAGTGGGTGAAACGATCATTAACAGGAATAATGAAATCAACTTATGATTATGAGTCGGTAAAGGAAGCCTTGGAGATAGAGGGATTGGGAATCCAGGTGTCGAGATGGGGTTATGCTTGGAAGGCTTGTATCATCACTTTTAATTCTGTTGATGAATTTTCTTATGCTTGGGAGAACAAGAAGGAAGAGTTGTCCTTGTGTTTCGATTGGTTAGCTCCAGCAGTTAATGAGAATGGTGTTCCTTTGGCTTTGTGCCAAATAGAACTGTGTGGTTTGCCCTTATTGTGCTGGAATGAGGCTTTCTTGGAGAAGCTTACTAAGGATTGGGGAAGGTTCATTTGTTTTAAGGAAGAATCAAAGATGAGATACGACCTTTCGTCTGCGAAGGTTTTGTTAAGGGTGGAGAGTCCCTTCGATGTTCCAGAAATGGCCACTGTAGGTTCTTATGGTAGATCTTTCAAAGTTAAGATTCTCATGGGGTCTGTGTTGATCCAGCCGAAGGAACTGGGGAGGAAGATGGAAGAGAAATTTTCAAACAAGGTGAACAGGGATTCTGTCCTTTCCGAGTCAGAGGAGGACTGTGTTCCAGAAAGAGCAGTTGAAGGAGAAGATTTTGCAGAGATTTCTTCGCATAAAGTTACTTCTTGGCTGAATAATGGTCATAATAGTGGTATGAATGGAGTTACTGAGGGTCAGGCTATTTCAAGAAAGTCAAATGCAGGAAAGTCCAATTGTGGGCTGTCAGGTTTTGTGGAAAATAGGTCTGTCCAAGTGGAAGGTCACGTGGGACTAGGTCTGAGAGAAAGTACTTCTCCCGTTGAAAAAAACCAATTTGATGTTAATGAGTCTCCCCTAAACTCTACAATGAAAATCTGTCCTTCTGGGCCTGCATATAATGTAAAAAGGATTGGAGATAAACTAATTTTCCAGCCCAAT